CCATTTGAGTTGTAAGCAATCAAGAAAGAAAGCAAGAAACAAAGCAAGAAAGCAAGAAAGAAAGTAAGAGAGAAAACAAGAGTGAGTGCTAAGTCAAGAGTGTTGCTGAAGCAAGCAACAAGTGTGATCAAGATTGTAAGACCGAAGCGGGTCCTTACTTTGATATAATAAAATTCAAGTTGTGAGAAATCGATTGTGCCCGTCGTCTCCAAACCAATAATATTCAACAATTAATACCCTCAGGTAAGAATAACGCCTTACATGTAGGCATTGCATCTAGCCATTCTCTGTTAATAAAAATCCAATCAATTTTTGAAAATTTTTTGTTTCCATCATGTTTATCACTCCACGTATATCTACTACCATGAGTAGGAAATTCTATCAAACCACATTCAAGAACACATTCATTGAACTCCATAATTTCTGCCCAAACTACTGGATTTCCTCCTATTCTATCATCAGTCTTCAGTAGGGAATTGAAGTCACCTAACACCATCCATGGTTTTGTACATTTTAGACTTTGGAGTATCAGACTTTCCCATAAATCCCTCCTATCTTCCCTGCTATTAAAAGCATACACATATGTTATCTCAAAGGAGAGTTGAAGTGGGATAAACACTACCTCACATGTTATCAGTTGTGTTGTTTTGTTGATGGGTTTTACACAATAGTAGTCAGGATTCCATGTCAGCCATATTCTACCATTGTAGTGATTTTCCAAGTTGGTAGTGTACTACCAACCTGCAAACATACTCGCAGCCACAAGTTCTATTCTTCCACTCTTTATTTTAGTTTCTAGTAAGCCAACCAGACTCACATTTTCTTCATTGCAAAGGATCTTCACTTCCTTTTGCTTATTGGGAGCGTTAAGCCCCCTTACATTCCAGCTAGTAAATTAACCACCAGACCCTATTATGGCCTGGCCACCCATAATCACTCTACTCCTTCCTTTTTCATTATTGTTCTGCAATATTTGATAGGAATTTGCACTTTCAATCTGAGTTGATCTTCTTGGAGGTGATATCTTCCCTGCTCGTGTAGGAGTTTGCCATCCTTCCTTTCTACTGTTTATCTCTTCATCACTCTGTTTTGCTCTAGTGTTACTCACTATCACTATCCCTTCTTGTCGTGCTACAACTACTTTAGCTAGTTGTTGATTAGGACTATTTTGTACCTGTACATTTACCCTGTCTTGTGGCAATGGAACAGGTTTGGGAACCTTTCTCTTCACTCTACATACCTCCTCCTCATGACCATATTTATTACAAAACTTGCATAGTGTTGGTTTCCAATCATACTGAACCTGATGCACAATGATTTTCCCTTTTTCATTGATTGTTATTTCGGCTTAATTTATCTTGATGAATTCATTGCGTGTGATTTCCTGAAGAAGTATATTTTGTGGATTCACAGTGATTTGTGAAGTTGAGTGGTTTTGGACTTTCTGACTAACTTCTAGTCATATGCACTTAGAAGGATACCAGGTATCAGGTATTTAAGTCGAGATTACACTAAACAATGAGGTGATATTTTTTATCAGATCATTCGTACTAGATTTTAGAATACTTATATATGTAATCTAATTAAATGTTTTCTTAGCCCCCATAGTATATCAATTAATAACATTTTGAGTCCTATATTTATCTTTTCTTTATTTGTCCATTTTCATCACATTTGTTTTAATATTTTTATATCTATAACTCATTTATTTATTTTCTACTCTTCTATTTTCATCTATATAAACTCATATTTTTGGTTTCATATGATTCTATCCAAGGAGCAATCCTATTAGAACGTGGAAAAGGAATCCTTTTACAATGACAAAACCAACAAAAAAAAGTAGTCCAATTCTATTAGGAATCAAATTCTATTTCTTCAACTATAAAATAACTAGTTCGTTCCCCGGAACAAGCTTTCATTATGTTCTTTCTCTGGATCACAGCCTACCAAACTAAAGTGACTTTGTTTGATTTACTGCAATCTGTCTTGCAATGGAGGAAATACTTATAGACATTTTGAAAAGGCCACTGGTGAAGTCACTTATTCGTTTCAATTGCGTCTCAAACTTTTGGAACACATTAATCTCTCAACCTTATTTTAAGAAGAAGCATCTCAATCATTCCAAAAGTCAAGTCAGTTCCCAAAAATTGCTTTTTGTCCGGTGCGATCCTAACTGTCAATTCTGGTCTGGTTCCTTATCCTTAATTCCCATTGATTGCACTTCAAATTCTAATCCAAAAGATGGTATAAAAATGTATTCTAGTTGTGACGGCTTGTTTCTCATCGGAATTTGGACCGACCGTTATGCCGAACAACCTTCCATATTAGTCATATGGAACCCTTCCACTAGACAATCAATATGACTTCCC